TCTGCTTAATAGTCTTTGCATAACAGTGAGACATACAGAGCTAATAACCATGCATGGGCTATTCTGTGTGAAGCAGACTGAGCTTTTCTTCTCTTCTGTACTGTGAGCTGGGATTTATTGTGAGGATGAGCTGGCATAGACACAACATCTGTAAATGTAAGACCAGTTTATTTTTTGTTGCTATTATTTTTATTTAATTTATTTATTCGTTATTTTTTGTGGTTAGCCCATGTCCACCAGAGACATTGAGCCTTGGTGCGCATGTGAGTTCAGATCCAGCCTGTGTTGCTGATACCAACACAGAATAATAATAATAATAATATAAACGATTATTATTATTTTTTATTCAGGGAGGTCTGTAGTCCTGTAGGTTTTTTATCTGTTAGTATTCTCATTCATATCAACCCAAATATCAAATCAACCGCAAACCTCATATAAAATGAATAAAAGATGAATGAATAGATTGAAATACCTCATATATTATTTAGTTTGACCTCTAGAGGTTGGCTATGAACATTTTCTGAAGGTTAAGCACCTCCATTCACAGACCATTTGTTTCAAAAAGAAAAAAAAAAGTCTTAATTTTTCTGAGTTTCAGGCCTTATTTTGTAAGCTCTACATGAAATGCATCACATGCAGCGCATCAATTCTAGATTAGTCCTCTTGAAGTCTTGATTAGGGGTTGAAGCCTGGACTCACTGGAAGAATAATATTAATAGACATTTTATGACAAATGAATCGAGGAACATGTTTTTGTGGTGCTGAATGCACTTTGATGTTCAGTGCTTTTAGAAGCTCGATTAAGATTCAGCCAGTAACACCTGTTGTATTGAATTGAATAATGGCTATGATTATGTAATCTGTATCCTAAGGGGTGGAGCTATAGCCAGTCAGGATTCCATTGAAGAGGCATCCAGGGCAATTACAGGTAGTTAGTTGAAGTGAGTCGGGTTGAGGGGCTCTTAATGGAAGGGAAAAGTTAGAATGAAAGAATGCAACTTATCTGTAGTGAGGTAAAATTAAAGAGTGCAGAGATTTAGATGAATGGGGCTTTTAATGGTGGCCTAATTGGGCTTATTCAGTTGGAGTGGAAAAAGAGCATATTTCAGCAAACAATCAGTGAGAGAGCACACTCTTCGACCGTAGGACGAAAATTGCCATATGTGTTCTTGCTTGTCAGTTTTAACGCGTAATTGCCTGTTTTGCCGGCAGAGCTCAGTTGGAAATTGCATTTCACTGGCAAACAATGCCCTCTAAACATGGTCTGTCCGCTGAACGTTTATCTGAAGGTCCCCAAATATCTTTGATGCTTTCTGCAACATATGTTTGCAAAATGAAAAAAATGAAATAATAAGAGTCGAATGAAAGAGCAGTGTGAACCTTAAACAACACAATGACTAAGTATAACATCAGCACACTTGTATTATAATTGTGGGTCTGTTTATATTGGCACAAGCGGTTGTGTCATTTCTCCTAACCACACAGCAATAGAGTATAATATTTTATGTACGAAGACAATATTTTAGTTGATTTTATTAGCAGTCATCACCCTGATTACTTAATGCCATTTGATAAACATAGTAATATTAGTAATACTACTACTACTAATGTATAGTTGTAAATCCAAAAATTATTTTATTTCATAATATAATATGACCAAAAAATAAAAAAGTCCAGTATAGTATATCGTATAATTATGCATATTGTATAATGATGATGATGATGATGATGATGATGATTATTATTATTATTACATGTTTTTTATAGATCCAAAATATTACAGTTATATTATTTCATTATTTTAATAATGATTGGGCAATATAGAAAATAGCATATAGTAACACAGCATATTATATAGTAATAGCTTAAAATATAAAAAATAAAAAAATAAAGTTGTTGTTATTATGTAATTTTTTAAAATATTATTTCATTTCATTATTTCATTATTTTAATAATGACAATATAGAATAGAATAATAGGCAATATAGAAGATAGTATATATAGTAATACTGCATATTAAATAGTAATAGCATATTATTATTATTATTATTATTATTGCTGTTGCCCAGTTTTATCAATAAGCATTTTAGTGCATTTAGGGTTTAATAATTACTATTAAATTCTATTATATAAATACTATAAATACTGTTTTAATAAAATAATAAATATTACTTTTATATCTACATGTTTTTCATTCTGTGTTCCTTAGCTCATACCACACTGCAATAATTTCAAATTCTGCACAGAATTTACATATTTACAATATTTACAAGTAGGCATATGACTGTATCAAATTTTCATGTTGCGATTAATTGCTAATGCTTTTATCACAGTATACGGTATTATCACGATATTGAAATTTAGTTTCAAAAAGTGTTGTCAATAAAGTATAACAGGTTTAATAACATTTTCTCATTAAAAAAAGAACTAAAAAAGAACATTTACATACAATAAAGCAATGCACAAAAAATGTATAAAGTAAAAAATTCCCACAGATTAAAGTGTAAAAGAATTATAAAGACCAGTAAGTAACACTTTACAATAAGATGTCATTAGTTAATGCACTAACATTAACGATGATCAATAGCTACATTTGCTACAGAAGTTATTATTCTTTTTTTTTTTTTAAATGCAACTGTTAGTTCATGTCAGCTCGTTTTCAGTAAATAACACAGTTGCAACTTTTGATTTTAGCAACGTGTTATTAAATATTGAAATTGCCTAAGATTAATGAATGTTTAGAATATTTTTTAATTGGCAGTTTATGTTAACTAATGAATTAACAAATGTTACTAATGGAGCCTTAATGTAAAGTGTGACCAAACAATAAAGAATCAAAACATCTTCAAACTATATCTAGCGCATGTTGTAATCCAGATTAAAATGTAAAAAGGTTTGAAAATAAATAACCTATTAAAGGCACAATATGTAAGATTTTTTTATTAAAATATCCAAAAACCACTAGAACAGTGTTATATATTTTGCTGACTTGTGTACTTACATTATCCCAAATGTTTCGAAGAATGTTAAAATCCAGAGAAATAAGCAATTTTAACGAGTGACACGGACCGTGTCCAAAGTGTCATTGTGTCGCCTGACAATGACGTCATAACCCCTCGATTTCCGGTTTTGTAGAAAACATGGAAACACCAAAGACGCTTTAATATGTTGTGCGTTTTAATAGACCGGTGACGACCGCACAGAGTAGCATTATAACAGAACTTTGAAATGTATCTAGTATGATAAAACAGCGCTGCTTTTTTTCCCACATACGCACGACCGGAAGGAGCGGAATCGGTCGATTGTGGCATAATAAAAGCTACGCTGCTTTCGAGCCATGTGTCGCGCTCGTTCAGTGGCCTCGTTTCGCTTCGACTGCTTTCAGCCTCACCCTGCTTCATTCTACTACGTTAATAAATCATTAGCTCATCCATGAACATGATTTCTGCCCGAGTCCCGTTGGATTGCATCGGCTGTGGGGATGAAGACCACAACTCCCATGATTCCACACTCAGTCACAGCATCATCAAACTACGCCTTTGTCTATTTGTTTATTTTGAATGCGAGGCCTCTAGCGGCGAAAATTACATATTGTGCCTTTAAGTCTAAATATTTTAGTATTTGGCACTGTGATGAACACCACTGCGAATACAAAAATCTGAATGGCTATTTAAATCATTTAAATATATTTCAGAAAGTAGCAGCTGCTTTGTTTATGGGGTTTCCGGGGTAACGGCTGCATTTCTGCTGTTCAGCGCCATCTGCTGTCAGAGAGTGAATGTGCATTTTCATTCAGCACATCTCTTTCACTCGTTCCGACATGTGCGGAACAAGCATGCTTCTCATCCATGCTTGTTTACATCAGAGTGCACATGCGTCTGTGACTGTCACCACCAGCATACAGCGGTGTTGTACATTGTGACCAGTTGATTGGAATAGTATTCTTAAAATGCATTAAAAAAATCGAGATGGTCCTCACTGCAGAACATAAGATCCAGAGGGTGAGGTTGGATCCAGATCCAACTCCTCCCACCTTACATATACCTAAACCTACCCATCTCCTTCCCCTGATCCCTAAACCCACCCATCTCCACCCCTAAACCTACCATCTTCACCCCCTAGATGTGGATCCAACCCTGTCCCCTGGATCTTTGTTCTGCAGTGAGGGGCTACTGAAAAAATCGGAATAATTTGTAATAAATAATTATTCACAGTATTTTTAAGTGCCCGTGATAACAATATCGTGCACGTTCATTGTCATGATATATTGCATTACCGAATACCGGCACATGTCTATTTACAATATTAGCTCATTATATTCTATTCAATACAGGAATTTAGATAGACTCCCTTTTTTTCATATTCTAAATGGCCTCCTCTGAACAGTGTTGCGTCAGTCTGCTTTTAAGAGCCAGACGCAGGGACATGTTGTACTGTGTTCAAGAGCCAAGTCATTTCAATTCTCCACCTCTCTTTTCCATTCCTAAATCTCTGTCTGAGCACAATCCCACACCCAAACACCACCGATGAGCATCGTAACAGAGCCTATAGCGAGAAACATTTCTATATATCGTACTGGGGTTCCCGTCTCCTTCATCTTCACATATGCTTATCCTCATGTTCTCTTCCTCAAAGTTGCTCAAGGGCAACTTTGATGTTACATAATTATATGCCGTTTTATGACAACCCTGTTTTTCTTTTTGTTCTGCACATCAAAGGTTCATTGGAATTAGCCTTCATCAGCAGGGAATTGGTTGAAAAGAGAACCACACATATTCAGCTCATCATAGAGTACCAAAGGATCACACCTTATGAAGCTCCAATTTTGAATGAAGAACGTAATTTAAATGCAACACTATCATCATTGACTTCTGCCTTATTGTAAAGACAGATATACAACCCCAGATGGAGAATCAGCTGATTTTGAAGAAGAAATCCGCTGAATGAATGTTATGGTGTTATGTGATGATATCCGTGTATATTTTCTCTGTGTTGTGTAGGAGAGCTGTACATTGGAGGTGTTGGGAAGAGCATGTACAACAGTCTGCCCAAGCTCATAGCATCGCGGGACGGCTATCAGGGCTGCCTGGCCTCAGTTGACCTGAATGGCAGGCTTCCTGACCTGATTGCAGATGCTCTACACCATGTGGGCCAAGTGGAGCGAGGCTGTGAAGGTTAGTGCACTGCTGCTCCGAGCCGTTCATATGTTCATAACAACATATGACCCTAAACTCAAAATAAACCACTTCCATATGCAATTAAAGACTACACAGGACACAAGTGGCACGTCATTCTGTGACTCATTCATGACTAAAATGAGACAATGATGAGACGACAATAAGGTCAATAAATGATAACTGTGAATATATCAACATGCAATATCGTTGATGATAAAAAACTAGACTAAAATCTATTTTAAAAACTTTATTTATTTTTTATTTAACAAAATCTTCTTATTTTCGTCAAAAAAAAAGAAACAAAATATTTTTGCGGACTGCTCCTCTACTACACGGGCTTTTGTGTGTTCAAGAGTTCACATTCCCAATTTAGAGCTTCTCCGTTAAAAGAATACATTTTCTGATTTCATTGACTAAAACTAGAATGAAAAGCTCAGACATATACAGTGGGTACGGAAAGTATTCAGACCCCCTTCAATTTTTCACTCTTTGTTATATTGCAGCCATTTGCTAAAATCATTTAAGTTAATTTTTTTTCCTCATTAATGTACACACAGCACCCCATATTGACAGAAAAACACAGAATCGTTGACATTTTTGCAGATTTATTAAAAAAGAAAAACTGAAATATCACATGGTCCTAAGTATTCAGACCCTTTGCTCAGTATTTAGTAGAAGCACCCTTTTGATCTAATACAGCCAT